AAGTTCAAACCTGAGGTATAGAGTTCAAGCCCTCAAAAGTAGTTTCTGCAACGTAACGCAGCTATAATCTCCAGAAGCAGTAGGATTAGTAATTGAAACGAATAAAGTTAGTCCCCCAGTAGAAAACACAATCCATTCTTAATGAGAAGAGAAGAGAAGAAAGCAGCCTACAGGAGCTTCTCTTGAACTAGTGCCTCCTAAGTAATGTAAAGTCGAATTGGCCCTACCTAATCCATATTAAAAATTCTTTGCTAAATTTTTGATCAAATCAGTGCACATTACCCCTTTTTTTTATTAGACAAATGTTCATCTTCACAAGTCAAGATCAAGCTCCAAATTACTCTTGAAAAAGTCAAGCTTGAACCCGAGTTCCAAAGAACTCGGTTGCTCGTCCCGAGCTAGAGCTCGAGCTCCTTTACCATAAGAAACAGACCATTACAAGCTCTGGCCAAGCAGATATTCCAAACAGAACAACACCCATGTATTTTTTTATTGAGGAGCAAAAAATATGGCTCGTGGAAGAAACAAATTCAACTACAACAGTCCCAATTTTCCAACTACTCAACACTAAAATATCAGCCAAAATAAACAGTAATCTATTTGTGACAATGCAAAACATACCCAATATCAGAATATCTACCGGTTGACCAAGGAGCTCGCAACTAATTGGAAGGCAATTCGTCAGGTTATCCTCTTCCGTGAGTCAACTTGCAGCTTCTATGCAGATTGGATTAGAGAAGAAGAGGGTGGGTGTTTCCGCGTTGCAGAGCGGTGGGTCACCACGAATGGTTAATTAGTGGAAGAGGTGAAATCAGGATTGTTAGGTCGGGCGGAAGGAGTATGAAAGACCACTACTCCTTCCTCAATTAATTATTTTTTAATTGCACCTGCCCTAGGGCACAATGATATTAGTCTCTTTTTTCTTTTTCTTTTTTTTGTTTTCCGTCCAGTATCCGGGATTTCACCCGACTACTCCGAACTCGACCAACTGTGGCGTATCAGAATGGTGGGTGGGTCTCCTAATGAAGGCTGCTACATACACAAGGTTTCGAACTCGAGACCTTACTTAAACTGAAACAAACCGCTTACTATTTAATCCAACCCCTCATTAGTTATTAGTCATTAACAGGTGCATTCCTCTCTCTTTAGATGGTTTTTGAACTCGTCCTTTATAAAAAAATGTTAAAAAAATTATTTTTTAATTTTTTAAAATAAATATTTTAATTTTATTATTATTTATTTGTTTTACTTAATTATTTTATAAAAAATATTTTATTTTATTTTTTAAATTTGTCAAAAATAATATAAATAAATATATAAGTAACCTATAAATTTTTAATTAAAAATAAAAAAATAATATTTATTATGTGCCGTACTTTTTTTTCCTCCTTTTTGAGAACGTTGTTTTGCATACTGCAATAAATTAGTTATTACATTTGAAGAGAAAGAATATATATTTAAAAATGATTAGAAAAATTACTGTACAACGTCAACAGCTTGGAAAGGAACAACGACGGCACAGTGGTTTTTCTTTTCTTTTTTTTTTTTTTATCTTAGGGAATTTTGGGATAAGAAATTAATAATATCTAGATATAAAATTCAGAATTTTATGTGTTATCTTAGGGGATATTGGGATGAGAAATTAATAATATATAAATATAAAACTCAAAAATTTATGTTTTCTTACCTCCTTCACACTTACGGTTGCGACACGGCACAATGTTTAATAAATGAACACCTGAAACATTACGTAAGAGCATACGTCAATCTCGCATATACTACACATGGTAAAAAGACACGTGAAGGCTAAGAGTTTTGGTTTCTGAACCTGGCCGCCACACTTTTCATTATTAATATTATATTTATTTTATTTTAATTAATTATTATATTTAAATCCAACTTTTCAACTTCGATGGTTTTGTTGTTAAATTTTAAATAGTTAAGTATAATCGATTAAGAATTTAACTTTCATTAATGATTTAAAATCCATGCCGCTCTTTCACATTCTTTCATGTTAAAAGAAAATAATTATTATATTTTTAATTTATTAAAAAAATATAAATTTTTTAAAAATATAATATAATAATATAATAAATAATTATATTAAAAAAATATAATATTAACTATTTGAACGGTGACACTCACCTATCCACCTCCCGAGACAATTGGTACAGGTGCATTAATTTGAGCATTTAAAGCGTGTTTGGTTAAATGCAAGCTCGTTTGAAAATTTTTTTTATTAAGAAAGCGATTAAATTTTTTTTTTAATTTATGTTTTTAAAATATATGTTAAGTGTATTTTTTATTATAAATATATATAAAAATATAAAAATTAATATTAATTTTAATATTAAGTAAATTTAATTAAGTAATTAATAAATTAAAATTTTATTTTTATTTTTTATCATAAATTTATAATAAAAAATATATTTAATATATTATTGTACAGATTAAATAAATCTTTAAAAAAATATTATATGAAAAATTAAAATTTAAGGTAAGAAAAGTTATTGAGTATTTTAATAAAATTTTGTTAGAATTTTATTAAAATATTAATTTTTTTATATTTAATAAAAAAATTAATTAAAAAAGTCGTCAAATAAGTTTCATCTAAGAAAAATTGTGAGAATTTTTTTTTGAAAATAATGAAAAAAAAATTTATACGTTAAGAATTATATAAAAAAATAAAAAATAAAATTTCCACTTTTATTTTTTATTATAATTTTGAAATATATAAACATCCAACAACTCTTATAAAATCTGAAAATTAGACATTTCCCAAGATTGTTTCCAAACACACCCTTGCGATTGAGTTCCATCCCCAACCACCACCCCTTGCTGTATTAAATTTTTGGCCGTCCTAGTTGTACTAATTCAAAAAAAAATAAAAATAAAAATAAAAAGATATTTTTGGCTCCTTCTGCTATAATCACAAGAGTAACCAACATTCATATTCTCAAAGCTCAACAAGACAAGTGAACCCCCAAAGGTGGCTCCATCGGTAAAGCTTAAGATTTTTACGTTAGATGTCACAAATTTAAATTCTAAAATAAGGAATTTAAAAAATGAAATCTTTGTGTATAATTCTTCAACCAAAGTGAATATATGAGTTTGTTTGGGATAAAGCTTAAATCCCCTCACAATTGTGCATCCAAACATGAGGTGTGAAACATGTTCGAGCCTGGAAATGTAGAAATAGCTTTATGAATTAAAAGAAAAAAAAATTATGATGTCTTGATATTAAAAATATTAAAATTTTTAATTATAATTATTATATTAAATTTATAATATAATTATTATTAAATATCTTGATATTTTTAATAATTCATTTTAAATTAATTGTTATTTTTTTATTTTTAAAATAAATAAATATAATATTTTTTAATTTTATTATTATTTATTTGTTTTACTTAATTATTTTATAAAAAATATTTTATTTTATTTTTTAAATTTGTCAAAAATAATATAAATAAA